GCGATCGCGCGTAAATTACCGTCACGAACAGCACGGAACGGAGGAACGCTCTTCACGAAAGATCTTAATCCGGCTTATCCGACGAGACGCTCTCTCGTCTATCGGCTCGAGTAAGAGGTCGTCATTCGAAGACGAAAAATGGAGTCTTCGTATCCGACGTTTCCAGGATTATCGAATGGAACAAGTGGTCATTTCCAAAACTGTTAGAAATTAGGTTTTTTCTGATGTTGCTCGATAGAAGTGTCTTTATTCTTGTCTTCTCGATGAAGCATCTTATCTAGTAGTCTGAAGAATGAACCGTTAAGTATCACGACAGGGTCAGTCCAAGTGAAATTATTTCCATCGAGAAGATAATGAGACACTTAAAGAATTCATTATTCCTTGAGGAAAGACGATAAAACGTGTTAACGGATTCCTTTAAATATAATTGTATCAACGATCTGCAATTCAATTATGTCGATACGGCTAGAAGTCAGATACATTACGTGATTCGTTTGATTTAATCTCGTGCTTCCGTCTTTTTAATTCAGATTTCACTCGTACAGAAGGAAATAATTTTCTATTAATTGTACCGCGATGTGTCCATAAATTAAAGTATACCGTTACGCTACAACTGTTTCCAAATGCACCTGTCGAGACGTAGACGTTATCCATAAGGAAGAGACGTCCAGAAGACGGATTAAACGACTTTAATTTGTCGATTGACAGTGTGAAATTCGACTAGCGAGTGGAAGATAATCGGAAAGGAGGTTGAAGCGCGTGGACGAGATTAACCGCGAACCGCGTTTCGTAACGTCGCTCTTCGTGTTAGACACGTCGAAGATAGCGGAGAACGGATAAACAGGTTTCGTGTGTTCACCGAGGGGGATCGTATTAAAAGCTTCGCAATTACAGGAAACGATAGGTACTGGTATGGGGAACTCCATCGAGTGAAATTCGTTTTTAGAAAGGCGCGCGTGAAAGCTGGGAATTTCGTGCGCTTTGTTCGACCGCTTAGGTTACGCATAGTTTCTTGCTGGCCGATTCATGGCCGACCCCTGTTCATGAATATTCCCTGGCTGCTCGATTCTGGACACACTGTTTTCGTTTGAATAAGCGAACCGAAGTTGCAAACTCAGCCGAGAGTCTCGCTACATCGTGTCCGCTGTCCGATGAATTTCATATAAATGAAAAATACATGGGCCATCCTTTGAGCCGCTCAACGGACAACACGAAGGGGCTTTATTGGCTAAAGAGAACACCACGATACGTGGAACAATGATTTCCAAGGAGGGACGTTTATAAACTTTCTTCTTGTAGTTGGCGAAGAAAATATGTTGACTTTGATATCATGTGTGGTATTGATACGAGTGATGTACTTCGAATATATGTGAACAGATACACTATCGTGATAACTCCTGAACAACAAATATATTATTGAAGCAATTGATGTACAGCAAATATATTATGGACAGATACACTATCGTGATAACTCCTGAACAACAAATATATTATTGAAGCATTTGATGTACAGCAAATATATTATTAACACAACAGATGTACCACAAGTACATCCGAGTACGTTCTGGTTACTACGAACACACTGGTTGAGAAGCATAAGTTGCAAAATAGCTCCAGCACTCACAGAAGTCTCAGATAAAAAAATAAGTAATTAATGCAGTTATCAACATTGAAATTCCACATACAATCATGCACTTCAACATAAATCCCGCGTATGAAACGAAAGCAAGCCAGCATGAGTTGCAATATGCAGACCAGAAAAAACAGTCGAGATCAATCTCATTAGTTCCTTAGTCCATAATTGCGATCACGTTGAAATTGCTTCTCTGAACGTTTCCACGATGTTGATCAAAGCGAATTTCCAGGAGAATGAAGCAACGGGGTTCATGATGGACGACGGATGGTCTCGGGACGAGATAAAAAAGTCTGGTAACGTTGGAGGTTGACGCGGACGAGAAAGCGTGGCGTACACGCATGAGGCACACCGTGTGTGGATCTCTTCGAGCGACTTGTGTCGCGTAATCGCGCGACATTTGTCATCCGGTTTCGCGTCATTTCGTTGTACACCAAGAAACGAGGTCCAACAGCGAAATACAGAGAGCCGCGCCTCTCGTCTCGCCCGACCAACAGGATGGCTCGTAGGGTTTTGAAATATTCGTTGGATACCATGGGTCACTGTCGCGTCATTGAAGCATCGAACAAATGGGTACACAGGATCTCGTTTAACCGAACCTCACAGATCGAAACAACCATCTCCGTCGCGGTAGATTGTACAATTTATCGTGCCAATTATTTCGCTGTTGATTAATTTCACTCATTGCTGGAAATGTTGTATCGGATTATCGATGCTGTTGTTGAAAGAAGAATTCAGGGATCTCGTTCCGTGGTACATTGTTTATTATAATTAACGTACCGATGTGGATCGGGAATATTAATAAAATGTTTATGCATCCGCTTCTTTAAATTTCGGATAATTAACGTTAATATGACCACGAAATATCATATTATATTCGACTTCTTGTATTTTGACATCGTTCGTTACCGCACGTAATTCGTGATCGGCCGTTTCAACATTAATTAACGATATGTACGATCATTTTTATTTTTCCAAACGATGCGATATTTCCGACGAAACATGCTCAATTACGTAGATACGGCATTGCCAAACAGGAAGAAACGCTACAAGCTGTTTGACGCAGACCGAGCGTCGGTGCTTGATAATTAAGAATTATAGCGGACATCCAACTGATCATAGAGATTAATTAAGCAAAGAAGAGTCCAGAAACGGTCCACACCAGGCGTAATAACTCGACCCCATCTCCTCGTTACGTAAGAATTCCACGAAAACGGGCTTCTTCTCTTTCTGGTCCCTTCGTTGAATTTGCATACGTAACGACAGGCATCCAAGTACATTCCGATCGTGGTTCCGTCGTTCGTATCCCGAAAATCACCGGTATCCGATTATCGGGAATCTGAACGGAGCAGCTCCAGACGTTACGGCATTCGGGATCGTAGTTCGATCTATCGGGCTGCTCCCACGGGAAATTAACCGCATCCTCCAAATAGCAAATAGATTCGTAAAAGATCCCTTCGTGAGCATTTTGCTATTCCGAATTACGTTCGAAAGACCTTATAACTGTTAAAATATCATCATGAAACTCAACTTTATAGCTAACAATTTTGACAACATCTGGACTGACCTATTTTATTACAAAATAATTGATTCCTTCTACAATAGCAACGGACAGATTTATCTGTTAGTTACTCTCCCGAAAATTGCAAGCGTTATCAAAATATGGGCTATACGGTAAAGAGACGTGTTCCATTTGGAGCTCAGAAGCGTCGTGTAGCGGCACACGAGGAGGTAAAAGCGATATCGGTCGTAGCGATCGTAGTGCCACGTACACACACAAGACTTGTCTACCAGGTGAGACACGGTAATCGCGTATCGATAGCCAGCCACGACGTATACAGCTCCGATCCACCGCAACGACGACGTATATAGCTGGCCGCTAATAGTTAACTATGATCTTACAAGCCGTTTACATCCACTCGATCTAGCCGCAATCGTGAAAAGCGCCGGAGCTCGCCTGGAGCACCGCAGGTAAATGCTTCGGCATCCTTCCCATTCTGGATAAGGGACTGACTCCATTTTTCATTTATTTCGATTCGTTGTCATATTTTAGTCGTATTAGTTGTTGGAGTCTAATTGTTTGGAAGAAAGGGAGCCCTGGATATTTAGGGAGGACGTAGATATCTCACTTATTAACGTAAATAGCTCTGGGTATGTACGGATCTTGGTATGTAGGGATGTGGACATGTAGGGTTATAGGAATATGAAGATCTGGGAATATAAGACAGTGGCTATAGAGATACCTAGTGAAGATATCTGATATAGCTATCTGGTAAGATGGAGATTCGGGGGTATCGAGAGTATAAAGATCTGGAGACCTTCTGACGTAAAAATTTAGCTTTTTCTATGAATACAGAGATCTCGAAATATGGAAATCTGGGAATAGAGTTCAACAAACACAAAGTGCTTCAGTAATCTGGTGATATGCGAAAGAGATTCGACAAAACAGTTATCCCAGTACAGATCTACCGATATAGGTAACTGAAATTATATAGATCCAGGATGCAGGGATTTGCGGATACAAGGATACAGGATTAGTCGAACAGCATAACAAAAGCATGACACAGATCGTTGATTTTCTATGAGTTGCCCTATACCAGATCGGATCTATGGCGTTGAAACTCGCAGCCATTCTGATTATGAAGCCAGATACATGGCCATGATCGTTCGTGCAGTTGCGTGATAGAAAACTGCGGTTCGCCACAATGTGTGACACATGTTACTGATCAACGGGATACCGTATGTAGCTTGTCGAGTCACTTCCATTCGAGTACTTAATTCTCGAGGATATCGCATTAAACGGGCTAATTTTGAATCATTAGTTTCTTTTTGTGAGATATAATTATCGTTCCATTAAATTCTATCGGACGAAGAAACTGCGCAATGAAGGGTTGCTACAGGGAGTCGATACAGTGGCGCCATAATCGACCCGGTAATAGTCCGATTACGAGTTTACGAACGTTTTCGCGAATCTTACACCGCCAGCATAGCTAGAACACTTGGTCGTCTAATTGCTGGACACTATTGTCGTGGTTATCGGACTTGCCTAATCGTTGGGATCAGAGAACCACTTTAGAGGCTGACCCTAATCTTGTTATAGACATTAGAGATTCGCTATTCAGGCATCTACTGAAACATAAGCATTAGTTACAGAAAATCATTATTTTTTATTTTATATTCTTGAACAGCATATTCGATAGAATTTCGAAATAAATTTCGTCTATTCTTTCCTCCTTTCTTACCCCAATCTTCAAGTACAAAGACTTGGAAGCTTCAAGCGTAGCTGCAACCGTAAACAATATCAATACACCCGATGTATAAAAATCAGAGCAAAGGATTGAAGACAATTTTCATCTCCCTGTTGCAGGATGAGGCCACTGGCTGGAGAACGCAAGGACCCACGACCGGACTGTAAATACGCTCTGCTGAGAGGTCCTGGGATTTATTAGCGTCGTCTCTCGGCCTCAAGGAGCAGAAAGGAATCAGGAAGGAGGCAACGATACGTGCAAACGTCGAGACAGAGAGGGACTAGGCTCTGGATGCAAAGAAAGGAAGAGGGAAGCAGAGGGTTCGTCCTTGAGATACATAAATCGTGTCTCGTGCAAGGTGCGCGACTACGAGAGACGGATGGAGGTGGTTGGCTCGCGAGTCGAGCAGGCGGCGGCTTAGAGAAGATTTAGGAATTAGGGGAATTACGTCGAAGTGGCTGCTTACGCACGAGTACGTAAAGAGAGGAAGAAGAAACTGCTAGACGGTAGATTTCGAGAGAGGACGCGCAACAAATTACGTCCGCCGCGTCTAAAGAGAAGAAACGTCATCCTCTTCGGCGACATCCACAGAGTCCTTTTGTCCTTCTTGTTTTCCGTATTCGGTCGTTTTTAGAAAACGTGGTCGCGATTTTTCCGCGTTTTGCACGATCCAGGATCTCCTTAGTCAAGATTTCATCGTCGATCGTGTTCCGAAACCGGTCTTTCGATTCTGTAAATAAAAGGGCGTGATTCCACGACGAGTTGGGAAGGTAAGCTTAACCGGTAACACGCTCGAGAATCGATTTGTATGTACAGCACCCTGTCACTTCGTTCTGGGCAACAAATATTTTTCACCAATCGGAATTTTGAACGTTTACCGACCTTTTTTTGATCGCGTCAAATTTAAACGCTCTAGAGCGAAGTTTGCGAATTTCATCGTACGGGATAAGAATTTCCAATAACTCGGAGAATCTTTTTGGTTATTGTTAGCGTCCGATTTCGGAGCATATCACTTTGCATGAATTGAATTTGAAAGTTCACGACGAATGGTACTTCTTTGTTTCGTCCGCGATAAGTGACGTTATCGAGCCACGGTTCCATGTCACCGGAAATGAAATTTATTATTACCCGAGTACTCTTCGTCGAGAAAATAAAAAACAATCGAACACGTCCGTCGTGAAGTGACGGGATACTGCAATATGTGTGGACGAAAGAACGAGTTCGATTCCAGGACACCCTTGTTCTTTGTCCAACTGTTAACCGAACGTCGCGGGTCTATCCTTCGAAGGACCCCGCGATCCACGGGCAACGTGCAAAGTAACAGCCTTCGAATCGATCTAGGACATCGGTGTAGCTCGAGTTACGACATGGACGAAAAGATTACGAAGCGAACAACCTCTTTCGACCATGTTCGCGTGACTCCTTGCTCTTGTGTCCGTAGATCAAAGTTCCAAAGGCGAAGGAAGTTGGCGAACGGCTATCCTTTAACTACCACTGACTCTTTAATTACGAAGTATTCGCGCGGACGACAAGATGAATCGTACGTGTTCATCGCGAATCGCGCGTGTTCGAAGAATTGTAACGAAGAAAACGGAGAACCGTCGAGGATCGAGAAGGAGAACGCGCGTTAGTAGCTGTAAAACACTAATTAAGAGTAAAATTCGTCCTTTTTCGCGCGAGCACCGTGCACTCGCGATCGTTCCGGTTGCCTGGCCCGGTTCGCGAAAGGATTCGACGATGCAATCACGCGATCTGCTCTTACTTCTCTTTCGGTTGGCATCGTACTTTTTATTTCGAACCGTCTCTGTGCAATATGTTTTTCTTTAGGTGTATGTTGGTCGCGATCGCGCTGGGAGAGTAGCTTTTTCATGGTTGTTGGCGTAACTTAGGTAAGAGGCAGGATGAAGCTATCCTTAAATAATACGCTCATCCTCATTCATTATTGGAACAAATAAAAAATCTTTCCTTGCAGAATCTTAAAATACTTTGTGCATTTATGTTCTTAGACATCGGATATTTTTTTCGAACTAATTGACGCTAGATTCTTGATATTTTGAACGAAATTAGAGAATCCTAGTTACGTCAATGTCCGCAATAATCGTCAGGGTGAAGAACGAGACCATAATGGTGGACGATGTGCATGGTGCTCGAGATTGTTGATATTTTTTTATATTATATGTATATCGTATAAATCATCCCTCCTTTCGAGTACAGTTTCGATGATTGCGAGTGGTGGATTCGAGAGTGATCGTCCGGGAGAGTGAGAGAGAGAATGCAAGACACGGAGAAAACGAGCAGCGAGAAGGAAGGAGAGATTAACGAGGTAAAGACAAAAAGAAAACCGACTATCATTTTGTACTTTGACATACAAGTAAGCGTGCGCTAAGCAAAGAGAAGGTGCAAAGATTGTTGAAGAGGAAAAACTGGACAAGATAGGTATCGATAGATGGTATGGGGCTGAGGATGAGAGCGAGAGAGAACGAAAGGAGAAATATTGTACATTGTTTTGTAAAGAGTACATTTATTTATATCTGTGATAATGGGCGAGGTTTAAAAAGAACTGAAAGGAAAAGATGGCGAACGGTCGGAAGAGAGTGTGAGAGAGGAAGGTAAAGTGAAAAAATTTTAGATATATATATATATACATAAAAAAAAATGGAAGAACAGTTATGGTGTCGGGGTGTACTTCGATGAAGACGATCGGTGCTCGTTGACACGTATATCGTATAGAATAATTATAGACTCGAGAGCATGGTTTTGTAAATAATCGAAATGTAGCCAGGAGAGAACGAGGGTCGATTGTACCTTTCGTGGCATTGATGTAAAAGGAGGAAATAAAGGTAGAAATAAAGGAGATGGAAGAAGGGAAGTACATGTTACGCGTTTCGTGTATAACAATCGCACCCTCGACGAACAGAACGAAAGAGAGAACTATCCGTTGTGAATATTATATGATACAGGTACTAGATATATATAGATATATATAAATATATAAATATATTATACATATTACGATAAATAGGTTCTATTTGGTTGTTCGTACGAATTCGATTGTAAATTAATTAAACTGTACATAGTTCTGAATGTGAATATAGACAGAATATATCTATTATTATTATTATTATTATTATATTAATTTTATTATTATTATTATTATTATTATTATCAACATCATATGATTATTATATTATTATTGTCTACTACCATTATGAATTCATTATATTAAAAAGAAGACTATTATGTTGTACCTTTTCTACTTTTATTTTATGTTTCTTTTACGAACCTTTATCCCGGAATATATTTTTGTCCCATTTTATGATTTGGAATATACAAGGTGCTTAATATATTAAACAATCTTTTACGAATATATTAAACAACCTTTTTACGAATAGCACTCGTATAGCAGACACTCGTTATATTGCCACCTTTACATAGGACGATAGTGGCGCTTCCTGCCATCTTAGAAACGGAGGATCCGTTACGCGACCATATGTATTCCCACAGGTTGCTTCACACGTTGTATCTCCCCGCGTTGTATTTCCACGTATTGTATTTCCACGCATTATATCTTTACGCGTTGTACTAACATGTCTTTTTCCCTACGTATTGTCAATTCGTAATATTCCTACATAGCCGCACATGGTATTCCCGATCCTTACATCACAGTTATATGCACACCTCGATGGCAATATAACGAAGATCTATCGTGTTCGAGTCAGACACGAGTTTTCTGGATCGACAACGTTTATTCGGAATTAACGAGCACGCGAACATTCCACAATTGGTACGTTTTCGTTTTTGAATACACGAGCTATGGTATTTTCATGGTGGGCGGAGTTCCAACGAAAATACGCGGTCGAAGGTAGGACAATGGCTCGTGAACCCGTACTTGGAAAGGAATGTTCAGCTCGTTTTGGAAAATAGGATGGGTGTAAATTTAACCAAAATTCCGAAGCGATATTCTTTCTCCGTCTGTTGGCGCAAACAATAGATAAGTGGCTGTTAAATATTTGCGTTGGCTTTTGCATGATTCCGTCGACGTTTTGTACACGGATATAAGCGAGATAAGATAATCCCTCGACTTTATCTGACGTTTCCGTGATTTTCGTACACTTTCTCCTTCGTTGAGCGCGTTTCGTTAGATCAACATTGCGTCTCCTTTTCCTTCGAGCTTTTTCAAAGTATTTAAACACCGAGGATCTAAAGCAGTTTCCCGAGAATATGAACAATAAAAATGAATTTCTAAGTGCTACTCTCGTATCTGATTGCCAGTTTATCGGTAATATCGCGCATTAGTTACAAGCTAATTTTCCGTCGGCTTGTTTCGCGATGAAAGCGCGTCGGATGAAAGAAAATCAACGATAGCGGCCGGTGTTTCGAACATTTTTTACGAGCGTTTCATGTTGCTTCACGCTCGGTCGCTTTGATCGCCCACGGCATTATTTACAGATCGGATTTATGCGCGAAAACTTCCCACGAAGATTCAAGGTTCGCTGCTCGTGACGTATAAATCAGCCTGGATGCTTGTCGCGCTTGTCGTTCGGAGAAAGCTCTCCTTCGAAGCGAGCATCTTTCTTTTTTTCGCCGCGTAAAAATCGTCTACTCTCCTGGCCGACGATTTATGCCGCGTTGGCTACGAAATTGTTGGAATGCTGTGCCAACAAACCGTCTCGTCCGATTTCGAATACCAAAATTATTAAGGGTAACACGATCTGTACATTACTCTGTCACGATAACAAACTTTAAAATTCAAAAAAATATGGAACTAATGTTATATTGATTAAAAAATTAAGACTCAAATATTTTCAAGATGTAACTGTTTGAAACGTGTTAGGTTAACTAGCTTTCTTACCATGACCTCCAATTAGTCACGCTCACCGTAAAATTGTACCCTCTTATCCGAAAATTACATGTTTCTTACCCAAAGCATTGTGCTCTAACAATTGAGATAACGCGAGTTTCACCGCACGGAAAGCAGACCACAAAAAAGGTAGAAAAGCGCTCCATTCAACAAGTTAGCATCCTCCTCGAAAAATACGAGCCCAAAACATTCTGAAGAACTCCATTCGAGAAGTTGTTCGGAGTCGGCAATAAAAGACGTTCTCCGATCCGCCAGCTACATTGGAGGTTATAGTTCCGTTCTATTGCCGCGTCCTAAACCCTAACAACCGTAAATTGGGCAACAAAGGGCGGCAAAGGCCGCGAC